AGCCCAACATGTCAGGTTTAACTAGGTTAGGGCCGCCTAAGAATTCTAGAAATGTCTGTCATAGGAGAGAGGTTAACTATAATTCTGGGAGTTGAAGTCCACACATCTTAAAGTTGCCAAGGTTGAAAAATGCTTAAAGTTGCCAAGGTTGAAAAAAGTCTTCAGTAGCAGCTCATGCAGATCATTGTGTGGTAGTCCAGCTCAGAATTAAATAGTTCATTGACGTGAATGCAGGATTCTCCAGCCTGTGTGGTAACAGACTGATTCCATTAACAGCAGGATTCTGGTGTCATTCCTAGAAATGAAGCACTCTATAAGATTGAAAAAATGACTCCGGTTATTCTGCAGTATGGCCAGTTATTAACCTCAGGTCTTGATGCTAAAGCTATTCCTCAGTGACATCCCAGCTAGTTCATTTGCTGTCAAATAACTCTATAAATGCAGCTGATTGAAATCTTGCTTACCAAATCAAATCTAATTTATTTTTTAGCTGAGTTATTTCTCATAACAAGACCTGGGGGTTGTAGTAAGGAGGAGGGAATCATTAAAGCATTAAGAAAAGATGACAGATTATAAGCAGAAAGTGTCTTTTTTATCCTCTTGTTTTTGGCAGTTGGCCTCCCTAGGTTCTTTATAATTTTTTCAGTACCTAATGGTTGGCTCTGATTTGCAGAAACAATAGTACTCAAATATTTGTCAATGTTTCCCCAGGCTTATGTGCTCCTTTTCTAGTTATATTTGGACCTTGGGAGTTTTTACTCAGTTTTCAGAGAAGGGCCCAAGATACAATAGAAAATTGATTTATGCTTATCAGTTCCTGCTCACCTCCAGCTATATTTAATTTTTTACTCCTGTTGGAGATTTCTCTTTGCAAAATGAACCATTTTGGCTACGAGGGCAAATGGTGGGACTGAGATCAATAAAGGGAAGGATTAAGGCAATACTCTGTATTTTTTTTTTTTTGCTTGTCCAATTATTAAATGAGGCACTTGTCATTTAAGCTGCTCAGGTCCTGCACTCATGCTGGCTTAAACTCCTAAGCTGGTTTAAGAAGATCCTGTCTGGAGTGAGACACTGCCAACAACTTCCAGGGTATTCAGTCTGAATTGCAGACTACCATGTCCTCCCTGGGCCAGTTCCTCTGTTGCTGTGCCCTCCCATCTGTCTGTTCCAGGAAAGCAATTGCTAATTGCCCCCCCATGTATGTATATGTGTGTGTGAGATGTATATATAAGCACACACCTATATACATGCACACATACAAAGTTATGTTAAATTCATATATACAAAATGGACATATGCAACAATCACCTTAAAATAGAAATGCTTTTCTTCCCACCATGTTGGACTCCAATAGCTTCTATACCTCCTTTTTCCATCAGTGCTGAAATCTTATGAATCCAAGAATATAATTTGCATGGTGGGGTGTTATGATCTCTAAAAGAACCCAACATTTCATTCAAATCACCACTGGCAATCATATGGTCTACTGACATAGTTGGGAACAATTGTGCTTTTGGGGGTGGGGCAGGAGGGGGGAATGTCTCATGGGATCATTTAAATTGAGGAGTGCTATAAAGTGAGGATTTAGACAATAAATATTAAAAAATGACCATCTCATATTTCAATAATCAAGTTAGAAAATTGATTTAAAATTGCAACTCTTCTAAAAAAGTTGCTTGTCTTTTACAGAAGAATGAGTCTCCTGAAAAAGAAGGGAAAAAAACTTCAATTCCCATATTTTTTAACTTAGCTGGAGACTTCAATCCTTTAACATTCCATCATGTGAAGAACACTGCCATTAGATATTTATATTAAAAACCCTATGCAAGAAATAAGTCATATATAATAATCAGCTATACTATATTTGGAACATACCAGACCAAGCCCCTTCTCACAAAAGTGAGAAAGTGAGAAAATAAAATTATTATAAATAATAATCCTTGTGTTGTTACCATCTTTCCCCACTACCTTCTTTCAGCTTAATAAGAGCTAGGGATTATTGAAAAAAGGAATGCAATTTTTGGAAACAATGGTTATATCTCAATATGCAATGCAAACTGCTTTGTGGATTTGTAAATGAGATGTTGTTTATCTATCATAGGCCATCAAACTCACTTTTGTTACCTATAATATTAAATGAATTCTTCCAGTGCTCAACTCTAATTCTTCAGGCACAGAGATGACCCAAACCTTTCGCAGTGAACCTTTCCATCTTTGAGCTGCTCTAACAAATGGGCTGAAGGACATTAATTAATTAGAGTGTTTATGAGGTTATAAGTCAGCTATGAATAGACTGTCAAGGACCACAGTTTATGTGGCTTTATTAGCCTGTTTGTGATTAGGATTGTTCATCTACTCATTACCAAAGCTAAATGGTGAAAGGAATTAGTTGAACACTCAGCTGATTGGAACGTAAGTGCTATTGAAATGCACTGACATTGCCAGGATGTTAAAAATTGGCTCAGAACAGCTGAAAAAAGGGTAACCACAGAAAAATGCAGAATAAGTTGAATTTTAAACACTTTGTTGAACTTTGCAATGGCAACAATCCTTTGTTTGGTTTATTAAAAGAATTGTTTGGTTTGAGGTCTTTACTCACTACGATGAGAAATGTGATAGTCCCAACATGGAAAGGTGTATTAAAGGAGCAGTTATATTGGTCTACCCCTTTTGTTGAAATGCATCCTGTTGCCTCTGTGGTTGATGAGCCCACTGGGGATAAAAATCCTAAACTGGTTTAAGGTTGGCCAATCCAACAACACAGACGTGCACAAAGGCTGGGCTTGCATGTCACTTTAACACATTATTTGCTTTAAAGACAGTTTGTTGCTTGAGGAACAGGAGTGGGGTTTGTATGTCACAGTAGACCATAGGATGGTATAAAGCAGGGTTTCCCAAACTGTGAGGTGTACCTCCCTTGCGAAGTGTAGAAGAGTCCAGGGGAGGTGTGAAGAACCTTTTCATTACACTATTACAATAAATTCACATTTCCCAAAGTTTCATTGTATTGTTTCATTGTTCATTTGTGTTCATTTTGTTGTTTGGATTTTTAGAGGAGTGTACATGAAGATTACACTAAAGGGAGATGTGATGGCAAAAAGTTTAGGAACCCCTGGTATAAAGTGATGTGTGAATCAGTTGAGGAGATTGGGTCATGTTATAGTTATTATCTTCCTCATTTGAAACATTCAGAGATCTGTGTATTAGAGTCATCTCCTAACAATCAGCACCCCAAACAAAACATTCAAGGACCTGCTACTCTTTCTCATGGGAATAATAATAATTTATTAAACTTGTATGCTGCCCAACTCCCAATGACTCTGGGCAGACCACAAGTCAAAGAAATTACAATCAAATAAATAAAAGATGGCAAGTGCGATGAAGCGAGGGGTCTCACTTTCCCTTGCCAAAGGCCTGGGTGAAGAGCCAGGTCTTCACCACTCTTTTGAACAGCAGCAGAGTGGGAGCCGTCCGGATCTCTAGGGGAACCTCATTCCAGAGGGAAGGCGCTGCTACAGAGAAAGTCCACTCCTGGGGTCCCGATAGATGGCATTGTATAATCAAAGGAACCCGGAGCACGCCAACCATGCAAGATCAATGGTGATGATGTGATCAGAAGCCATTTTGTCTTGGCTGCACAAGAGTCTGGACACTGCATTCCTCAGAGACCCCTGCCTGGTTCTTTTTACAGCGCTTGGTCAGTGTTACAGCTGAAAAAGCAGAACTGATATTCTCCTGATCGAGTGCGGTTCTTAGATGTGTAAGCCTGTGTGAATGTAATGGCACCTTTCCCCCACTGAGCCTGCAGGCTGGCTGGAGATTCCTGCAGATCATATTTCACCCTCTCTTCAGGTAGGCTGCTACAAACCTCAAGATGAAGATTGTGAGTGAGAGAAATTGACTATATCCCGTTTGTCATTCTGACTGCACCTCTTGTACTCGTATTCTGTACAAACCTGAGCATACAGTTTTTCTGGAACAGGACAGTAGCATACACTTCTCGTAACCCTTGTAAGGTTACAGATGCCTCCCCACAGTGTGACCCACTCTGGATGTCTCTGGGCAGTTGGTGCTGAAACTGAAAAATGTATTACATTGGAGAGTTGAATCTATAAACCTATGCAAGTTTTGTTGAAATGCAGCCTGTGGCTTTTGTGATCCCCATGCCAGTTGGGGACAAAGATCCTGAGTGGACTTAAGGTTACCCAGCACCCAATGCAACGCAGAGGAGCAATAGCAGGTCGCCACAACACCAAGGCTGCCACATCTGGGCGAGAATACAGACGACCATTAGCGGGCAACCATGAGGAAAAAAAAGGGGCTTTTGTATGTTTGCTGCCATCAAGCAGTTGCTCTAAATCAGGGTTCCTCAACCTCAGCGACTTTAAGACGGGTGGACTTCAACTCCCAGAATTCCCCAGCCAGCATGGCTGGCTGGGGAA